GACAGAGGATGAGATGGTTGGACAGTGTTCTCGAAGCTACGAACATGAGCTTGACCAAACTGCGGGAGGCAGTGGAAGACAGGAGTGCCTGGCGTGTTCTGGTCCAGGGGGTCACGAAGAGTCGGACACGACTAAGCAACTAAACAACAACAACAACAGAAATTTTATCATTATTACTATTGTTATTAAAAAGACCAATGGGACACTCTGGGAGAAAAATGACTGGTGGTTGAAGGGAACTCAATGGGAGTCTGGTGTGTTCCCTAGCAATCCTCACGTTCTTGTGCATTCGTATGTAGAAGAACACACAGTGAAAAGGAATCTTTTTGAAAGAGGGGCATCTTTAAAATGCTGGATGCCCAAAGGTTATGAGAAATGTGAGCCCATCACGGAAGCTCAAGCACCGAGCCACCTCAAACGCCCCTGACATTTTAGACTCTGGACTTCATGAGGACGTCCACATATTCTGTCTTTACATGGGGTTGGGCTGGATGACCCTGTGGTATCCCTTACAATTCCATGAGTTACTGCAGAACCTGCCCAGCTGGTTGCCCTGTGTTTAGGGCCCCGCATCCTGCCCGCAGCCCCACCACGGATGATGCCCTTGCCCTATGATACCACCTGGACCACCAGCTGCCAGTGTTTTGTTCCCCAAGCAGCCAAACAAAAGCGCAAAGTTTAATTGGCGCCTGACATATGCAAGCGATAGCGTGATAAATCGGAGAGGACCCGCGTGCCTTTCTTGCTAAAAGTCTCTGATTTCCCTATTTATTTATTTCTAAAGTCACCTGCTATCCTTTGAGCTTGCAGAACCAATTAAGAAGCTAGAAGGGTCGAGGATGGAGGGGGGCGGCGGTTTTCCTCGCCCTCACCTGGCGATCTTCTTCGCACGGAGACGCTAATCCACCCACACCTCCAATTGCCACCGGTGCCCAGAAATAATTCCCCTCTCTCTTTGGCAAGCACCTGCTAATCCCCACCCCCCGCTCCCTGGCACACCTGGAGGCTTCGAGGCCACCTCCCCCTTTCCCTTGCGGCTTCAAAAGGTCTATCCGGAAGGCTGCTCGCGCTCCGGAGACGCGCGGGCGTGATATAAAAGGGGGTCCGGGCTGCAGTTGAAACCTCGCAGACGCGGCGCCAGGAGGAGGAATCGGAGACCACGAGGCATCGCAGCGCCAGGTAAGTCTTCCCGGGGCTCCTCTACCGCCCAGCCACTTGGATGCCCGCCTGAAGACAGGACAGGTGGTACTCCAACAGGTGCGCTCTTCCCCTCCGCACCTTTCATCACTCACCTTGAGCAGCCTCGAAGGAGGTGGGGAGATGATCTCCCAAAGGTGGCAGAAGGACCATAGCTGTCTTTCCCCCCTTTTTACAAAGGGAAATTCCCTTATTCCGAATAGGATTCCTCGCGAGAAAAGGGGAAAGTTGACAGCTATGCAGAAGGAAGACTTTTTATTTCTTTCTGTTCGCCTGTTCTGTGAAGCGGGGCAAGACGGACGAGGAGCAAGGCATTAAATAAACGAGAGGGGAAGTTATAAGACAGGAGTTGGGGTAAAAGGAGCAGAATCACAGAATCTGAGTTTTGTAGGGTTGTGGAGCTGGAAAGGGAGCCCCGAGGGTCATCGAGCCCAACCCCGCTGTTATGCAGGCTGTGTGGCGTGGAAGGTAAAGCAAACTTGTACATGTATAAAAGCATAGAAATGTAGAGTTGGAAGGGGTCCTGGGGTCATCCAGTCCAGCCCGCTGCAATGCAGGAATCTCGGCTAAAGCGTCCATGACAGATGGCCAGCCAACCTCTGCTTAAAAACCTCCAAGATAGGAGAGTCCATCACCTCCTGAGGGAGTCCGTTGGCTCTCACTGTCAGAAAGTTATCTTTGACGTTAAGCCGGCATCTCCTTTCTTGTGACTTGAAGCTATGAGTTCGAGTCCTACCCTCCAGAGTAGGAGAAAACAATATTGCTTCATCCTCCACATGGCAGCTCAAAAGGATCCCTTTATTGTTTGGAATGGGTGCATTTTCAATGGGCCCAATCCACCAGGGAGTTAGTTCTCTCTTGCGCTCCCCCATTCAGCTGAAAGGGAGCTCTCTGTAAGAGTGAATTCCTATTAATTTACACCTTTGCACAGACGCAAAAACTTTTCTTTCGGTCCACACAACCGGGTTGCTCAAGAGGCGAAAATCCCTTTCCCCACCTGACTTAATTCTTTCTCTCTCACACTTACTGTTTCTCTCGCTCCCTCACAAACACGGTTGAGTAAAGACAATCGCCTTTATCCACATCTGTAGTCGTAGATGCGATCCCCGAAGTCATTGTTATTATTGCAGATTTATTCATTTGGAACTGAAGAAGGCAGAAGATTGCTGTTTCCTAGGTACACCTTTTTAAAGCTATGGCACAACTTATAAGGGATAAAACCTGTTTATGCCTCATTAGAACAGCTTTAACCCTCCCCTCCTTCTTCCAGCTTCACATCTAATTTTAAGAACATAAGGTGCTCAGGCTAGGAAAAGCAGAATAATAATAATAATAATAATAATAATAGTAGTAGTTTTAATCTGTATGTGGGGGGATACAACTTTTGTAATTATGCCTTTTTTTGTTCTGTAGTGAGATATATTGAAAAGGATCAAATTCGCTGAGGAAAAGGAGATAACTCAGTAGGGTTGGACTAGATGGCCCTCATAATAATAATAATAATAAATTTTATTTATACCCCACCCTCCCCAGCCAAGGCCGGGCTCAGGGCGGCTAACAAGCAATAATAAAAACAAGTTGAATGAATACAACTTAAAAACAAGATTAAAATACAACATTAAAACATTAAAACTTCAAATTTGTATGATTCTTACTCAGAGTAGACCCACTGAAATGAATGACTTCATGTTAGTTGCATGTATTCTATACTCCGAGTAGCAATAGCATTGAATAATGCCCTTTCTTCCCTCTGTTGTGGGAGAGGAGACTGCTATGTTTGCATTGTTCAGAGGCAGGAAGATTTCAGGACAGGAGAACCGACGGGATGGGCTGCAACTTCTCAGATTTGTACTAGGAAACCTTCTGTTTCCCTTGATTTGTTTGTTGCCTTTTCTGTACTGATTTCTGGTCCAAAAAAACTTTACCCCCCTCCACCCCAGCACTGGAAATGTCCAGGCTTTTCTTATAGCGCAGCCAGAGTGCTCAAAACCTCCTGCATCCCTTTACCTTGCCGTGGAAACAGCAGCTGGACGGTAAGTTCAGGTGGTTAACCTCATAATACAGGTAAGACAGGTGAGCCCAGGAGTATCACATCAAAGGGAAATGGAGAGAAGGTTCTCTCCTTCTGCCACAGCGCTAGAACATGGTGAAGGTGAACGCTGGGAGATTTGGAACAGGGAAAAGAAAGGGCCTTGCACAGTTGAACTATGGAACTCACTGCCTCAGGAGGCAATGATGATACGATACAATAATCTTTATTGTCATTGTCCCATACAGAACAACAAAATTGAAAAAACTACACAAGACATCCAAAGCCAAACAAGCCTGCTATCCCAACCTGGTTAGCCCCCTAAAAACTCTGATACCCAATTTTTAAATACAATATACTCCCATAGAGACTCCTTACACTGCGTTTAAAACCAAAATTGCATTTGGATAGAAACTGTTTCTCAGGCGGCTGGTCCTAGTCTTTATAACCCTGGACCTTCTTCCAGAAGGCAGAAGCTGAAAGAGATCATTTCCAGGGTGCGCACTATCCTGCGCTATCTCTGCAGCTTTCTTATGGCACCTGGAAGCGTAGATTTGATCCAAGGTGGGAAGAGTGCACCCAGTTATTCTCTCCGCAGTCTTTACAACCCTGGACAGCATTGTTTTTTCCCTGACCGTGCAGCTCCCAAACCACACACAGAGACCATAAGTTAATACACTCTCCACAGTACAGTGGTAAAATGCCATCAACATGTCCTTTGAGAGATTGTTTTTCAGGAGGATTCTCAGAAAATATAACCTCTGCTGTGCTCTATTCATCAGGTCTTTGCTGTTTTCTGCCCAGGTTAGGCCAACAACTTTGATGGCTTCAAAAAGAGGGTTAGGCAAATTCATGGAGGGGGGGGGGCTACTGATGGTTACTAGCCAGGAGGGTGGGCTTCCTTTTGGCCCGATCTAGCAGATTCTTCTTATGTTCTTAAAGTCTTACGTTCTTAAAGCACATGGCAAAACTATGGAACTCCCTCCCACTGCAAACAGCGGCGGCTTCAGAATTTGGATGGCTTCCAAAGAAGATGAGGATTATTAATTGTCATTACAATTCATTTATTAATCGCCTTTAACATCAGTCATAAGGAAACTTACACATAAAATATTAAAACCAGTTAAAAAGGGTATTTATGTATGTCACTACGGCAGTCATGTTTTGTTAGTCCAAAAATGGAAAAGGAGTGAGTTCCCAACTAAATAAGAATGGCAGCTTAAACTGATGGAATACGTGCAGCTTGCAGACTTAACATATAGAATTAAGCGAACAAGAAGAACATACGTTTAGAGAAGGTTGGAAAATGTTTATTGAATATATGGGAGGGGGGGAGGAATTGTCTACACTTGTGTTTAATGTAATTGTAGGACAGTTATGGAGTCACATTTAACCCACATATTATGGGTTAGGATACTGATAGAAATACTGTACTGAACATCCTTATTAGCTATCAGTGTAATATAACTGAAGTATTTGGTTCTTACAGATAGACAATTCAAGGCAAACTTCTACATTTGCTCCCAATACATTTCATTATCTATGAACCTTTGCCATACTTTTTTTCCGTCTCAGTATGAGATTACAAAGCACAGAAGGGAATTAAATTCCTATGGATTGTGAGAATGGTGCTATATTGCCTGAATGGTTTTCCTCCATGTAACATGCATAGGCTACAATCTAAAATAAACAGAATTAAGTCCATTGGTGTATTGAGCTGCTATTATGCTTAATATGGCACCCCTATTTTCTGTCTTGGCAGACCCCCCCAAAGATGCTGAAAATCCAAGGAAGCAGTCTTTGGGCTGCCCTGGGCATCCTGCTCATCCACTTGGTGGGAGGAGCGCCCAACAACTGCCTGGACAGCGGCTGGTGCCGAGACACGGAGACAGAAGCGGAGGTCGAGGTAAGTGGGCAGGGCGGAGGGGAGGGGGCCGTCGCGGGTCTTGGAGAAGCACTTGGAACTCCCTGCCACAAGATACGGCGATGGCTGCTTGGCTTGGGTGCCTTTGAAAGGGGGGTGAGGCACACTTGTAGAGGAGGAAAGGCCCATCAGCAGCGATAGCAAAGGGGAGCCTCCCTGCTCAGTGTCTTGCTGTTGTTTAGTCATTTAGTCATGTCCGACTCTTCGTGACCCCCTGGACCAGAGCACGCCAGGCACTTCTGTCTTCCACTGCCTCCCACAGTTTGGTCAGACTCATGCTGGTAGCTTCGAGAACACTGTCCCACCATCTCCTCCTCTTTCGTCCCCTTCTCCTTGTGCCCTCCATCTTTCCCAACATCAGGGTCTTTTCCAGGGAGTCTTCTCTTCTCATGAGGTGGCCAAAGTACTGGAGCCTCAGCTTCAGGATCTGTCCTTCCAGTGAGCACTCAGGGCTGATTTCCTTCAGAATGGATCGGTTTGATCTTCTTGCAGTCCATGGGACTCTCAAGAGTCTCCTCCAGCATCAGAATTCAAAAGCATCAATTCTTCGGCGATCAGCCTTCTTTATGGTCCTCTAAAAACAGTTAAGAGCACAGGAAGGTGCCTTGCAATGAGTCAAACCATTACTCCACCTAACCCTAACTCAGTATGGCTTAGGGCCCTCATATCTACGGGACCGCCTCTCCTGGTATGCCCCGCAGAGGATCTTAAGGTTCATGAATAATCATAGTTTAGAGGTCCCGGGCCTTAAGGAAGTCAAACTATCCTCCACCAGGGCCAGGGCCTTCTCAGTGATGGCTCCGACCTGGTGGAACGCTCTGTCCCATGAGACCAGGGCCCTGCAGGATTTAACCTCATTCCGCAGGGCCTGTAAGACAGAACTATCCCGCCTGGCTTTCAATTTGAATTTAGCCTGATCTTTTATTCCCCTTCCTTCCCTCCCCCTCCCCTTTTATGAAGATCACCCACTCTGGGATCCCACAGCTAATTCTCCCCTGCTCTCCCTGCTGGCCCAAGTAGGACTAATTTAGCCAGCTAGCCCTGTTGACCATCTAACGTTTATTGGATGGATTTCCCCCCTAAATTGATTTTTGAATTCTGAATTTATTGCTATTCACATTTTATACTGTATTTTATGCTGTTTTTTGTTGCATCAATTAAGCAACAAAAAGTTGCACTGAGAAGGCCCTGGCCCTGGTTGAGGCTAATCTGACTTCCTTAGGGCCCGGGACCTCAAGGGTGTTGCTATTTATGGATGTTAAGGTCTTCCGTGGGGCATACCGGGAGAGGCGGTCCCGTAGGTACGAGGGTCCTAGGCCGTGAAGGTGTTTAAAGGTCAAGACCAGCACCTTAAATCTGACCCTGTACTCCACTGGGAGCCAGTGCAGCTTGAAAAGCACTGGGTGAATCTGCTCCCATGGCAGGGACCCCGTGAGGAGCCTCGCTGCAGCATTCTGCACCCGCTGGAGTTTCTGGGACAGCTTCAAGGGCAGCCCCGCGTGGAGCAAATTACAGTAGTCAAGCCTGGAGGTGACTGTAGAGTTGGAAGGTACCCTGTGGGCCATCTAGTCTGACCCCCTGCAATGCAGGGATCTCAGCCCAGCCTCCCAGCCTCTGCTTAAAAGGAAAAAGATTCCGCCACCTCCCGAGGAAGTCTGTTCCACTGCTGAGTGGCTCTTTCTGCCAGAAAGTTCTTCCTGATTTGTTGCAGGAATCTCCTTTCCGGTAACTTGAAGCCATGGGTTCAGGTCTTGACCCAGGAGAAAACAAGCTTGTTCCCTCTTCCACAGAAGCCTAGTTTGGGCCTGAGACAGCAGTTCCTTACTTTTATTTTTATTTTTTATATACAGTTTTATTGATTTTTTTAACATCTCAGTTCCCACAGTCATACAACATAACTTCTCATCTTATACAATGTTTTTAGACTTCCATCAACACTTCTGATAATTTTCCATCTCTATCGCTTATTATGCATTTCTTAATTTCTATATTACATTTAATTATCCTTAACTAATAATTCTCCTCATTATATTTCTTGCAATATTTCAAATAATTCACCTTACAAAACTTCTTGCAATCCTACTAGCGTAATCTGTTCATCACAATTGCTTTTCAAATAGTAAATTTACTCCAGTCTTCTGAGAATCTCTGGTCCCGCAGCTTTCAAATCCTTCCTGTTAATTTATCTAACTCTGCCTAGTCCATCAGTTTCACCCTCCATTCTTCTTTCGTTGGTAGTTCTTCTTGAGCAGCTGCTTTGAAAGCCAAGGCGCAGCCCAGGAACCTTGCAGAATATTAATAAAGCCTTCCCTAAATGCAATCTGTAAATTCAAAGATTTCTGTGCTTGTTTTTTTTTTAAAAAATAAATATTTAGCGTTAATTGAGAATTTTCAGTTAGGAAATTAAGTGAAAGGAAAGGAGAGAAGAAGAAAAAATACTTGAAATAATGATTCAGTACCTAATAGAGTGGAACCTTGATTCCCGAATGGCTGAGTTGCCAAATAAATTGGCTCCAAGTGTCCAGGTTTGCGAACATTTTTCGGAAGCTCAACTTCTGACACGGCTTCCGCTTGAGTTCAGGAAGCTTCTGCAGCCAGCTGGAAGCCGCGCCTTGGTTTTTGAATGGTTTCAGGAGTCGAACGGACTCCCAGAAAGGATTGAGTTTGAGAGCCAGGGTACCACTGTACAGGTACTGGCATCCCCCTGACCTGTGTGCAATCGACTTTGCACAGTTGCATATTTGTGCCTCGCTGGGAAATAAATACAGTGGACGCCTGGGTTGCAAACGTGATCTGTGCAGGATGCACATTTGCAACTCGCAGCAATGCGTCTGTGCACACGTGGGTTGCAATTCGGCGCTTCTGCACATGCACAAAGTGCAATTTAGCATATGCGCGGCCACCAAAACCTGGAACTAACCTGTTCTGGTACTTCCAGGTTTCGGCAGTTCGTAACCTGAAAAAAACGCAACCTGAAGCATCTGTAACCTGAGGTATGACTGTTTGTTGTTTAGTCGTTTAGTTGTGTCCAACTCTTCATGACCCCATGGACCAGAGCACACCAGGCACTCCTGTTTTCCACTGCCTCCCACAGTTTGGTCAAACTCATGCTGGTAGCTTCCAGAACACTGTCCCACCATCTCGTCCTCTGTCGTCCCCTTCTCCTTGTGCCCTCCATCTTTCCCAACATCAGGGTCTTTTCCAGGGAGTCTTCTCTTCTCATGAGGTGGCCAAAGTACTGGAGCCTCAGCTTCAGGATCTGTCCTTCCAGTGAGCACTCAGGGCTGGTTTCCTTCAGAATGGAGAGGTTGGATCTTCTTGCAGTCCATGGGGCTCTCAAGAGTCTCCTCCTGCCCCAGAATTCAAAAGAGACCCGACTTACAGCAGGGCTTTGTTTAGGGTGCTCAGTCTCCCCACCTAACGGCCAATGTACGGGGGAGCGCAGCAGCAGCTTTTCTGCTCATCTTCCAACCTCCTGCCAGCGCCAGAGCTTCAATTCCAGTTGTGGATATTTTTGGCACAGTCTTTTTTGGCACAGATCGCAGAGAGAGTGGCAGGGCAGGCATTAAAAGAGTGTTTAGAGGGTGCTCCCTACTTTTGCCGTTTTCGCTCCTGCATGCAGGGTGCTAGAACGCAACACTCGTGTAAGTGGAGAGACTCCTGTACGTAAGTAATAGAATCATTCCAACAAATGAAAAATCATTAACAAGTCGTCATAATTCCTATGTGGGGGATAAAATCGTGATATGGAATTATGAAAACACTGGTGAGAGATAAGAGACAGGACTGTGATTTGGAAAATGTTTCGGAATTCAGACCGTGGGAAGTTGTGAAATTAAGATTATAATTTGGAAGACAATTGGACTTTTTTATTTTAGTTTTTTAGTTTTACAGTGGTGTCTTGGGTTACATACGCTTCAGGTTACAAACGCTTCAGGTTACAGACTCCGCTAACCCAGAAATAGTACCTCGGGTTAACACTTTGCTTCAGGATGAGAACAGAAATCGTGTTCCGGCAGCACGGCGGCAGCGGAGGCCCCATTAGCTAAAGTGGTGCTTCAGGTTAAGAACAGTTTCAGGTTAAGAACGGAAATCCAGAATGAATTAACCCGAGGTACCACTGTATTGGATTGTGATTTGATATGTTAATTGGATTTTCTTTTTGGAAAATTAATAAACACTTTAACAAAAAATACAACACGTCAGTATAATTCCTATCAATGCATCCCAAACACCGTCGAATTTATCCCTACACAATCTGCGTCTAAAAGCAGCAATCCGTTTGTATATTGCCAGAATTGTCGTATCTTCTCCCCATTGATCGAAGGGGGGCATGAGATCATCTTTCCAGTGAACCAATATCGGTATTTCTGTGCTTAAACCTAGCAGCTCGAAAGCATGCCAGTGAAAGTAGCTAAATAGGTACTGCTGTGGCAGGAAGGTAAACAGCGTTTCCGGACACTCTGGCTTCCATCACGGTGTCCCGTTGCGCCAGAAGCGGTTTAGTCATGCTGGCCACACGATCTAGAAAGCTGTCTGTAGTCAAACGCTGGCTCTGTTGGCCTGAGAAGCGAGACAAGCATAGTCGCCCTTGACTGGAATTAACCATCCAGGGGTCCTTTACCTTTTTATTTTAGTAGGGCTGTCATATGTCTGGAATTTCCCAGGCACTGCCATGATTCGTCCGTCAAAAATTGAAATTGAATTGAAATACTTTATTGTCACTTGTACAACTTGTATACAGTGAGATTACACCAGCATCCCCCACTCAGCTCTCTTAGGCTTAATTCCCCTCGTTTACTGACGCACACCCACCAAACCCGAAAGTCAGTTGCCCTGTTGTTATCTTTTCATTCAGCAGTCTAACAGCCCAGGGACAGAAGCTGTTCTTTACCCTGTTGGGGTGACTAATCCTGCTTCTATATTTTTTGCTCGAGGGCAGGAGATCAAGAAAGTGCTGGCCCGGGTGTGAATAATCATCCCTGAGAATTTTCCTCACTCTCCTGAGGCAACGTTCTTCCGCTATTTCATCCAGCGGATTCATGGGACAGCCCATAATATCTTGCACTGTATTCACCATCCTCTGTAGGTACTTCCTATCAGTTGGTGTCAAACCAGTGTACCACACCGTGACGCAGTAGGAAAGGACATTTGAAATGGCGTCTAGTTTGAATTTTCGGTAAAAATGTCCTGGGGAAACCCGGGCGAGTGGCAGCCCGCATGATTTTTTTCTGGGCAAATTTCCTAAAAACTTCATTTTGTTTTTGGAGATTTCCCAGAAAATAATATTAATAATAATAATTAATAATTTATTATTTATACCCTGCCCATCTGGCTGGGCTTCCCCAGCCACTCTGGGCGGCTTCCAAATAAATATTAAAATACTGTAATACATCAAACATTAAAAGCTTCCCTAAAGAGGGCTGCCTTCAGATGTCTTCTAAAAGTCTGGTAGTTGTTTTTCTCTTTGACATCTGGTGGGAGGGCATTCCACAGGGCGGGTGCCACCACCGAGAAGGCCCTCTGCCTGGTTCCCTGTAACTTGGCTTCTCGCAGCGAGGGAAGCGCCAGAAGGCCCTCAGTGCTGGACCTCAGTGTCCAGGTAGGACGATGGGGGTTAACAACTTTGCCAAATAAAGCTCAACAACGACCTGACGGCTAACCACAAGGGTCTCCATCCTCTGTCCCCTTTCTTCATTGCAGGAATGCCTCAGGGCCTGCAAAACCAGCCTCTCAGAAGAAACCCCTGTTTTCCCCGGAAACGGCCACCTGCAGCCGCTGTCCGAGAGCATCCGCAAGTACGTCATGAGCCATTTCCGCTGGAACGAGTTCGGGAAGGGCAACGGCACCGACCCGGGCCACAAGCGGGAAGAGTTTCCTCACGGTCCCGCCATGGATGCCCTTCCGGCTCGAGGCAGCTGGGAAACCGCTGGGCAGGGCGACCCGGAGACCCCTGAGAGGCAGGAAGGCAAGCGGTCGTACGCCATGGAGCACTTCCGCTGGGGTAAGCCGGTGGGGCGGAAGAGGAGGCCCGTCAAGGTCTACCCGACGGCGGAGGACGGAGAGGAGGAGCTAGCCGAGAGCTACCCCCAGGAGTTCCGCAGGGACCTCTCCTGGGAGGCGAACCCCGAACTCGGCTCCCCCGAGGAGAACGGCGAGGGCACCCGGTCCGAGGAGGAGGAGGAAGAGGGTGGTGGCCCGCGACCCTGGGAGGCCAAGAAGGACGGCACGGCCTACAAGATGCGCCACTTTCGGTGGAATGTCCCCGCACCGCCCAAGAAGAAGCGCTATGGCGGCTTCATGAGCCCCGAGCGCAGCCACACGCCCCTAGTGACTCTTTTTAAGAACGCCATCGTCAAAACGGCCTACAAGAAAGGCCAATAGGGGGTGGGGAGAGGAGAGGGGAGGGGAAGGGAGAGAGAGAGAGAGAGACCAGGGACAAAAAAAGCACCCCCTATATGTTCGGGGTGGTGGAGACCTCAGATCTAGATCCCTTTGGCACATGTCTCATTTAGACCCTGTTAATGATAATCATTTCTTTTCGTTGTCCTCACTTGCTATGGGTAACTGTGGAACTCGCCGCTTAGGATAAACATTCGTGTTTGCATTCTGGTTTTTGGGTGTTCATGTTATTGTGTTTTTGGGGGGCGGGGAGGAAAGGTTTGTTTGGCGAAAGATTAAGCCAGGATTGGCCAATCCGGGTGCCGTCCAGAGATTTCGGACTACAAGTCCCATCAGCTCCAGCCAGCATGGATGATGGGCATTGTCGTCCGAAACCTCCGCAGGGCACAGGGACGGCCGAGCCTGGCTATCTCCCATCTGTGGTGTCTGCGGAACGAAGCAGGAAGGAAGCCTTATCTTTTGGAGGGGCACAGAGTATTTTCGTATTTCGAACCAGCTGTACAATACTGTAAATGAAAGGGTTAAAAGATATAAAATAATAATTCTGAGAATAACAATAATACATCTTTTTGCAAACTAAGCGTGGTCTCCGAGACGTCTTTGGGCACGTGGGGGCAGCGTCATGAGCTCAGCGTCTTCCTCCCTTGCTTTGGTTAAAGTTGCAAGTTGGATCGGCGTCGAAATTTCAGACGGAAAGAATAATTACCGTATTTTTCGCTCCATAAGAGACACTTTTTTCTTCCTAAAAAGTAAGGGGAAATGTCTGTGTGTCTTATGAAGCGAATGCGTGGTCCCTGGAGCTGAATTGCCCAGGGGCAAAAAGCAGATCATGCTTTTTAAAAAAAAAAGAAGGAAGGGAGTGTTGAAAGGAAACAGCTGATTGACAAGTGATCAGGGAGAGAGATAAGGGACTTTAGCAATAAAGGAGGCTGCCTGGGAGGGGGGAGGTAAACACCCATGGAACCTCAGGATTTTTGCATTGGGTCACTCCAAATTCACCATCAGATCACATAGCATGTCCATGGCTACAGCCTGCACCAAAAAAATCATGCACCTACTGTTTCCTGGGGCCGCAATGGCACAAAAATGTGGTTACAAAGCACAGATCCACGTGGATCCTCAGGATTTTTTGCATTGGGCTACCCCAAACTCACCGTCAAATCACATGTCTGTGGCCACAGCATGAACCACAAAAATCATACATCCACTGTTCCGTTCAGAATTTTTTTTTTCTTGTTTTCCTCCTCTAAAAACTAGGTGCGCCTTATGGTCAGGTGCGCCTTATGGAGTGAATCTAGGCAAAGGTGCAGGGAAACAGTAGAAGGAGTTTGTGCATCAAAAGCAAGACTCTGCTGGGAGACTGCACTCCTCCATTTCTGCCCTTGGGAAACACGCAAAGCAACAAGAAAGCAATGCCTCAGAACATGTGCAAAGTGCATTCCCAATTGCTAGCTACTGCCCGCTACTGCATAGCCAGTGTCTGCGCCCAGTGCTTGCACAACCCACAGTTGACTACATCAGGCTTCCAGGCAGAGTTGAGTCGCAATCTCTGAGCCTAGAGAGGCTCCAGACTCAGAGTTCAGTTTCCTTGAAGATCAGTGGAGAGTGTGGTGTCTTTAGGATACGTGGTTTCACCTACACAAATAGACAACCTGAGCCTAAGACAGGGGGGCTCCCAGAATTTACACCCCATCAGGTCTTGCTTCTCCATTAGTTTGTGCTTTGGATCCAGCACACAGCAAGCAGGTCTCTGTGTCTCCAGCTTCAAATCTGCTTTCAGCTCACCCCCCAAAACTGTTCTCCTACCTAGCAGGTGACAAAGTGGGGGCAAGGCCCCCCCCCCATGAGCCTGGAGGAAACCACCCTGTGAAACATAAATGCGCAGTTTTTTTTAAAACTGGGCAACGGCCTGTTGCCCACCCATGACTCCGGAGTCTTCCTTGATCTCCAGCCAAGAGTCTACTAGTGCAGCGAAAGGATCCTCGAAAGGCGGCCATACAAACTCCATTTTAAAACCCTCTGTGTTGCAGGATCATGCAATTGTACAGGTGGAGGGAATCCCAAGGGTCATCTAGTCCAACCCCCTGCAATGCAGAGATAAGGCGAAAGGATCCACCATAGATGGCCGCCCAACATTTGTTTTAAAATCCCAATGAATCACAACATTGCAGGGGTGGAAGGGGCCACAAAAGTCCAGCCCCCTGCACTGCAGGGATCTTAGATTAGGGTTACCAGACATCCCCGGCTCCTGGGGACAGTCCCCGGATTTGCAAATCTGTCCCCTGACAAATTCCGTCCCTGGAATGTCCCCAGATTTGCATTTCTGTCCCTGGGAAACATGGCAGAGGCAGTCAGCAGCCCGGAGCCAGCCTGGTAGTGCAGTTGGCTCCGGCTGGCTTCAGGAGCTGCCCGCTGCCATGGCGCCTGCTACTTTTCCTCGCCAGAAGTCCCCATATGATGTGTTTTGTGCGCATATGATGTGTCTTGTGCAATCTCCTTCCCCCTTTGTTTTGACAAATTGGGGGAGGATTGGGAGTCGCGGGTGGGTGGCCATTGCCCAGGAGGGGCGCAAGGTGCGTGGTTTCTCTGCCAGGCAAGGTGCAAAGCCCTACTTTTCCACCCTGTGAAACATAAATGCGCAGAGCTTTTTAAAAACTGGGCAACGCCCACCCGCCCATGACTCCCCCGATCTGTCCAAACAAAGGGGGAAGGGGCAGGAGATCGGGGGAGGCTCAGGAGTTGCGGACGCGCTGAGCCTAGTTTTTTAAAAACTGCACATTTGTTTCACAGGGTGTGAAAGAACTGCTTTGCACCTTGCCGGCAGAAAAAACGCACACAAGACACATCATATGGGGACTTCCAGAGAGGAAAAATGGCAGGTGCCATGGCAGCGAGCATCTCCTGAAGCCAGCCAGAGCCAACTGCGCTACCAGGCCGGCTCTGGGCTGCTGAGGCTGCTGCTGCCATGTTTACCAGGGACAGAAATGCAAATCCGGAGACGTCTGATAACCCTATCCTAATGGTCAGTTGGAATCTCCTTTTTTTGGAGCAGATATAGCCAGATAAGACCATCAGGATAAGAGACCTCTCAGCCTTCTCCAGGCTAAACATACCCAGCTCCTTCAACCGCTCCTCATCAGGCTTGGTTTCCAGACCCTTGATCATCCTGGTTGCCCTCCTCTGCACACCTTCCAACTTGTCAACATCCTTCCTAAATTGTGGTGCCCAGAACTGGACACAGTATTCCAGGTGTGGTCTGACTAAGGCAGAATAGAATGGGACTATGACTACCCTTGGACGTGGGTTGCGCTGTGGGTTAAACCACAGAGCCTAGGACTTGCCGATCAGAAGGTCGGTGGTTCGAATCCCCTCAACGGGGTGAGCTCCCATTGCTCGATCCCTGCTCCTGCCAACCTAGCAGTTTGAAAGCACGTCAAGTGCAAGTAGATAAATAGGTACCACTCCGGCGGGAAGGTAAACGGCGTTTCCGTGCGCTGCTTTGGTTCGCCAGAAGCGGCTTAGTCATGCTGGCCACATGACCCGGAAGCTGTACACCGGCTCCCTCGGCCAGTAAAGCAAGATGAGCACTGCAACCCCAGAGTCGGCCACGACTGGACCTAATGGTCAGGGGTCCCTTTACCTTTTTATGACTACCCTTGGACGCTGGTGGCGCTGTGGTCTAAACCACAAAGCCTTGAGCTTGCTGATCAGAAGGTCAGTGGTTTTAATCCCCGCGACGGGGTGAGCTCCCGTTGCTCGGTCCCTGCTCCTGCCAACCTAACAGTTTGAAAGCATATCAAAGTGCAAGTAGATAATTAGGTACCACTCTGGCAGGAAGGTAAACGGCGTTTCCGCGCGCTGCTCTGGTTCGCCAGAAGTGGCTTAGTCATGCTGGCCACATGACCCGGAAGCTGTACGCCGGCTCCCTCGGCCAATAAAGTGAGATGAGTGCCACAACCCCAGAGTCGGCCGCGACTGGACCTAATGGTCAGGGGTCCCTTTACCTTTACGACTTCCCTTGACCTGGACGCTCGACTTCCCTTGTTGCAGCCCAGAATAGTGTTAGCTTTTTTTTTGCTGCTACATCACACTGTTCTCATGTTCAGCTCGTGGTACCCAAACACTCTTGCAAGAGACAAATCATATAGCAATCTGTTATAGTCAGCTTTAACTATTGCAGAATTGTATAGGTGGAAGGCATCCAAAGGGTCATTGCAGGAATGGCAACTAAAGTACCCCGGACAGAGGCTATCTAATCTCTGCTTCAAAACCTCCAGTAAAGGAAGAAGAGGAGTTTGGATTTGATATCTCGCTTTATCACTACCCTAAGGAATCTCAAAGCGGCTCACAATCTCCTCTCCCTTCCTTCCCCACAACAAACACTCTGTGAGGTGAGTGGGGCTGAGAGACTTCAGAGAAGTGTGACTGGCCCAAGATCACCCAGCAGCTGCATGTGGAGGAGCGGGGAAGCGAACCCGGTTCACCAGATTACGAGTCCTCTGCTCTTAACCACTACACCACACTGGCTCACAGAGTCAACCACCTTCTGAGGGAAGTTATTATTCCCAGTACCATGTTTCCCACCATCCATAATATTGCCTCCCCCCCAAGGATTCGACCTTCTGTCTGCCAAAGAATTAAGAGTCCCTGTTTCAGAGATCTCCAGCAACAGCCCTCTAGAGCAGGCATCCCCAACCTTCGGCCCTCCAGATGTTTTGGACTTCAATTCCCATCAGCCCTGGCCACTGGTCCTGTTAGCTAGGGATCATGGGAGTTGTAGTCCCAAAACATCTGGAGGGCCAAGTTTGGGGGTGCCTGCTCTAGAGCATGGGTAGGCAAACTAAGGCCCAGGGACTGGATCCGGCCCAATTGCCTTCTAAATGTGGCCCGTGGATGATCCAGGAATCGGCTTGTTTTTACAAGAGTAGAATGTGTGCTTTTATCTAAAATGCATCTCTGGGTTATTTGTGGGGCATAGGAAT